TTAGCCAAAGAATTTAACCAGAAGGTCTTCTTTTCAATCATACCAAATTACCTAGTTATTAATGGACATTTGTGAAAAGTTTCTCAATTTTAAGAACTGAAACAAAAAGGGTTCAAATTAACCAAAAGGCTAAATTTTTGAGAAGACCCTTATTTCCAAAGCATTCCCATTTAAATGAGATTTTAGACATGAAAACATATTTGTAGAAGTATTTTACAAATAAAAGGCATTGCTAGTATTAACTTTTTATTGCTATTACAAGGACTCAGCAACTGTTCAGTCTCACAAGTATATTTGGGTGAATAGGAGAAACCAGTGTAGGATTTAAAATTTTATGGTGACTAATGCTCACACTAGTTATTCCATGCACAGATATTTTACAGTTAATTACATTAATTCTCCTTAAGCATATGACAATAAATGATAAATGAATGAAAAAGATGATTTAGTACTATTACTGCTATATTTTGGAAAACATTCAGTAAGGTAGAATGGGCAAAATATATCACAAGGCAAGAAACTTGTGAAGTCAGTAAGAATATATGTATATATGTATTTACATATAAAATTTTTTAAATATATGTGTATAAAATACATGCGGGGAAAAAGAGAGAGAGAGATATTATTAAAAAAAAAAACTAGTCTTGAGCCAGGAAGAACTGGATTCAATTGTTGCCTCTCACATACTGTCACTGTGTTTGGCCAGATCACTTAACTATTCCTCTTGATTTCTCTGTAGCCTTTGACACAGCTGATTACCTTCTTTTCCTTGACACTCTTTTTCCTCTTGTTTTTTTGTTTTGGTTTGTTTTGGTTTGGTTTTTTTGTGAAACTGCCCTCTTCCGGTATTTCTCCAACCTGTCTGACCTCTCCTTACCTGACTGGTCTTCTTTGCTGGATCTTCAACCAGGTCAAGGTTCTGTCATGTCTCTTCTCCTTATATCCTATTTTACATGGATGATCTCATTAGCTCCCATGGATTCAATTATCATCTCCATACAGATTCTCAGATCTGTTTATCCAGACCTCATCTCTCTCCTGCTCCACAGTCTCACATTTACATCTTCCATTTGAGACACTTTCCCAACTGAACTTCTTGTAGAAAACTCAGTATGTCCAACACTGAACTTACAACTCTCCCCCTCCGCACCAAAATATTCCCCTCTTCCTAACTTACCTGTCACTGAGAAGGGTACCACTATGCTCCCAACCATTTAGGCTAGCAACTTATGTATCATTCTCTCTCTCTCTTCTCTCTCTCTCTCTCTCTCTCTCTCTCTCTCTCTCTCTCTCTCTCTCTCTCTCTCTCTCTCTCTCTCTCTCTCTCTCTCTCTCTCTCTCTCTCTCTCTCTCTCTCTCTCTCTCTCTCTCTCTCTCTCTCTCTCTCTTTTTGGCTATGCAATGGGGTTAAATGACTTGCCCAGGGTCACACAGCTAGTAAGTGTTATGTGTACCTATGTATCATCCTCAACTCCTCCTCCTCACTCTCTCCTCCATATCCAATCTGCTGCCAAATCCTGTCAATTTCCCTTAGCCCCTTTCTCTCCTTTGACCTTACCATCACTCTAGTACAGGCCCTCATTATCTTATATCTGGACTGTGCCAGTCTTCTGGTTGAACTCCCTGACTTAAGTTTCTTCTCCTTCATTCAGTGCCCATCATCTATTCAGCTATGAAAGTGATCTTCCTACAGTTCATGTTTAAACATGGCCCTCCCATATTGAATGGGTTCCCCATTTTCTTGTAGATAAAATACAAAATCCTATTTCATTTTAAAACTGCTTATAACCTGGCCCTTCCTAATCTATCCAGTCTTTTACCTTACTCTCTTCCATATTCTCAACAATCCAGTTTGACTCTGGTTTTGTTGTTTTTCCTTGCACAAGACATTCCATCTCTCAATTTCATGCATTTTGCTGGCTATTCTCCATGCTTGTCATTCTCTCTCTCCTAATCTCTGTCTTCTGGCTTCCCTAGTTTCCTTCATGTCTCAGCTAAAATCTTACCTCCTGCAAGAAGCTTTTCCCAGTCTTTTTTAAGTTAGTGCCTTCTGAATTTATGTCCAATGTGCTCTGGTATATATAAATAATGTTGCCTCTCACTATTAGAATGTGGGATCCTTGAAGGCAGAGACCGTTTTTTACTTTTCTCTTTATCACCAGCACTTAGCACAGTGACTGTCACAAAACAGACATTTAATAAATGCTTGCTGACTTGACATCTTAATGTTCTGGACAACTTTCTATGATTGAGTTGCAGAAAAAGTACTAATCTGTACTGATTGAGTTTTCTACATTGAACAAACCACAAGTGTGGGTCCTATCCCTACATGTATACGTATATGTATATGTATATGTATACACACACACACATATATTTCGTATATAATGATATGAAAATAAGACTTAAAATAGTAGCTTTCAAACATTTTCACTTGGAAAATTCTAAGGAGCACCTATTTTGGTACAAACGTCCCCCTAAAGTTATGGGAGCTACTGCAGAAAGAAGTTATGCTGAAGGAAGGTGGACAAGAGCCATAGCAAGTGCCCTCTTTCTCTAGAGGATCTCTGAGGTTTCCTCAAGTTTAGGCCAGCTCTATTCAAGAAAAAAAAAAACGATTAGAATAACACAAATAAAAAAAAACACTATCCAGCAGAAAGAAAGTGAAAAATAGCATACTTCAATATGTATTAAAACGATATCTGTTCTTTATCTGGAGGCAGATAGCATACTTTCTGATTAGTCCTTTGGGATTGTCTTGGATCACTGTATTGCTGCGAATAGCTAAGTCATTCATAGGTCTTCATTGAAAAATATTGCTGTTACTGTGTATAACATTCTCCTGGTTCTGTTCACTTCACTTTGTATCCGTTCATATAAGTTTTTCCAGGTTTTTCCAAAATCATTCTGCTTGTCATTTCTTATAGCACAATAATATTCCATTGCAATCATATACTATAGCTTGTTTAGCCATTCCCCAACTGATGGGCATCCTTGTAATTTCCAATTCTTAGCCACCACAAAATAAAGGCAGATCTAAACAACTGCAGGAATATTAATTGCCCACGGGAAGACTGAACCAATATAGTAAAACTGACAGTTCCATCTAAATTAATTTACCTCTTCAGTTTCATATCAATTAAACTACAATATTCATCTGGGAGAATAAATAGTCAAAAATATCAAGAGAGCCATGAAAAAATGTGAAAGAAGGTGGCCTACCACATTTCAAACCACTTTACAAAGCAGCAATCATTAAAGGAATCTGGTGCTGTGTGAGAAATAAAAGTGGTGGATCAGTGGAACAGGTTAGATACACAATATATAGCAGTAAACTATCATAGTAGTCTAGTGTTTGGTAAACACAATGATGCGACCTTTTGGAGTAAGAGCTCACTATTTGAGAAAAAAATTTCTGGGAAAACTGGAAAGCAGTTTGACAGAAACTAGGCATAGACCAATATATCACATTGTATACCAAAAGTATCACAAAATGGGTACATGATTTAGACATAAAGGATATTATATAAGCAAATTAGGGAAGCATGGAAGAAATCACTTGTTATATTCATGGATAGAAGAAGAGTTTATGACCAAACAAGAGACAGAAGAGTTCACAAGAGGAAAAATGGATGTTAAGTACATACAATTTTTAAAAAGTTTTGCACAAACAAACACATAGAGAACTGGGACAAATTATGAAAATAAGAGCTATTTTCCAATTAATAAATGGTCAAAGTTTATTACGGGACAGTTTTCAGAGGAAGAAATTAAAGCTATCAATACTTACATGAAAGAATTCTCAATAACTAATAATTTTTGTTGTTGTTCAGTCATTTCAGTCATCTCTGACTCTCTATGACCCTATCTAGGGTTCCCTTGGCAAAGATAGTGGAGTGGTTTGCCATTTCCTTCCCCCAGCTCATTTTACAAATGAGCAAACTGAGACAAACAGGGTTAAGTGACTTTCCAGATTTGAACTCTGGTCCTCCTGACTCCAAGGCCAGCACTCTACTACTGTGCCACTTAGCTGTCCTCACTAACAATAAAATAAATGAAAATTAAAACAATTTTGAGGTACCACTCCACACATATAGACTGGCTAAAATGACAGAAAAGGAAATGACAAATATTGAAGGGGATATGCAAAACAGAGACAACAATGCACTGTTGGTGAAGTTGTGAACTGGTCCAACCATTCTGGAGAACAATTTGGAACTATGCTCCAAAAGCTATAAAACTACGTTTTGACTCAACAATATTGCCACGAGGTCTGTTCCCCAAGCAGGTCAAAGAAAAAAGAAAAGGATTCATAGATACAAATTTCGTGCATTCATCCATACATACATATATATATATATACACACATATACACACATACATGAACATATACACACACACACACACATACACACATATATCAACTATTTGTGGTGACAAAGAATTGTAAACTTAAGGGATATGCATCAACTGGGGAATGGCTAAACAAGTTACGGATTACTATTATGCTGTAAGAAATGATAAATGGGAGAGTTTCAGAAATACCTGGGAAGACTTATATGAAGTGATGCAAAGTGAAGTGAGCAGAACCAGGAGAACAATGTACTCAGTGATATACCACATCTCCAAAGTACTCAGGATGAAAAATGTTACCCACCCCCAGATAAAGAAATGATAAACTCAGAATGTAGATTAAAGCACATTTGTTTCCTTTCTTCATTTTTCTTCCCTTTTTGGGGGGAACATAGATAATGAGGAAATGTTTTATACGACTATATGTATGTATATGTATATACATATGTACATATATTATCATATTTCTTCCCATCTCAAAGAGAAGGTGAGGGGTTAGAGAGAGGGAGAGACTTTGAAACTGAAAATAAAATGAAATTTAAAAAATGAAGAGTTCCTAATACTAATGAAATCATATGATCTCTATCCCTTCCAAAGAAGTTATAAGAAGCCTGATTTTATGAAAACCAATCTATATTTTGAATTACCTTCACAGACCAAGAGTAGATCATTGTAATTGAATTCTGTAGGATATTCATAGTGAAAATTGCCAGTCTGGTTAATACAAACACCATTTGCACAAATATCTGGAATCTCCTTGTATTCATCAATATCTGAAATTGAACAGATTTAATCAAGTATACTGAGGTCTTTCTTTTCCTTCATTCACTTTCTTTGTAGCAATTTATACTACTGTGTATATATGATTTGAAACAGTGGTTTCTGTGTCACTTAGGCTCATAAATACTTTTGTAGTGTATAAAATTTATATAAATCATGATCTAGATTCTTTCCTCCAGCAACTAAGGAGCAAGTGTGTTAAACAGACTAAGTCATAGCATTTTATTGCCCACCCAATGAACTACCATGAAAAACAATATATTCTCATTTAGCTATACATAAAAGAAACTACCTTAACTTTTCGTCTTTCTGAAAAACAATCAGTATTACTGTCTCTTTGAGGAAGAAAAACTACAAGTTAAGAAAAAAATCCATCCAGAAAGAAATAATTCCAATGTCTTCTAGAAGTTAAAGTGAATTTAGTAGAAAATGATACTGAAAAATCCAACAAAAACTCTGGCATTCCTCATATTATTTTGTTAAGACTATGATCTAAGACCATTTTCCAGATAGCTGTATCTGATTTGAGTGGAAGTAGAGGTGAGAGAAAGCAATCTTGTAAATTTTGTTCCCCTTTTAAGAACCACTTTGGATTTAATATTTAACAACCACAACATGGCTTTTCCTTCTTAGAGCTGTTTTAAAAAGTCAACAACATAAATTGAGAAATTTTAAAATGTCAACGTTTTTCTGTACCATGTGTATTAATCTGATATTAGCATTTTTTTCTGGATGTGAGACACTGAATGCTGATACGCACGAAATCAATGTGTGTAAGATTTGCCCAACATTCATAAAATTTTTAGACTCATTGATTTTTGTATATCATATGGTAAGGAAATTATGGTCTAGATGTATTTTTAAAATTTGTCCTACTTAGGTATTGTTTTAGTTGTTCAGAAATAAACAAATGTGTAGTTCTTTTAAGAAATGACGATCCTTTTCTGTTAGTAGAAAACCAGGTTCCAAAATCCTAAGCATCTGAAGAAGCTTGGCAAAGGATCAAGAAGTGAGAATAAGAATCAGGAATTCTTGTAGTATTTTGCTATTTTAAAACACTCTAGTGATTTTTAATACTCTCTTTAATATATGTATATATTAAGTATAAATAAGTATATTAAAATAAACTTACCTACAGCTTCGCCTGTATGAATGTCAAAGGTAAATCCAGGAATATTTCCACATATGGCTTTAAATTCAACTTTAAAATCAAAATAAAACAAATGCTCTGGTTAAAAAAATACTAACAACCAATGTAAACAACTTCACATTATTTCTAAAATGATTAATGTCAACAATTATTACTGTTTACAGTCATAATATATTTTCATTTCAACTAGAAATCTTTCAATTGCATATTACTAATAAAGGCACAGACTATGATAATTTAGCTTTTTTTCCTGGGAATTTAGCTTTTTAATTGTGCTTGTAGACAGAGGAATTATACTACCTTTTTCAAATTTAAAAAGGTTCTCATCCTTCCTTATTTTTCCACGTTCTGAAACTAGTTTGTTTATAGTCAATACAAAATAAAATATCACATATTGATTTGACTTAATGTTTTTCATTCATTTCAACAAAAATGGCTATTTGAAAGATTGATATAACTTTGACACAATCTACTGCATAGTTGCCATTTTTATGCGGTACTCTTTTCTTCTAAATAGAGAAATTTCCCTTTTTTTTTTATACAACCTCAATGTTCTTTTTTTTTTTCATTCAAATACAGGCAGCATGTTATAATAAATATTTGGCTTTTGAGCCAGGAAGAAGTGAAGTGAAAGAAGAATTTGATAGATGGAGTCTTGTTTCTGACATATACTGCTTGCAAGACCTTGGGCAAGCCATTTGGATGCTTCCTACATTACAAGAAGGACTTTTCTCATGTAAGAGTTCTCTATACTCTGGAGTCAGGAAAACCTGAGTTCAAATACAGCCTTAGACACTTACTAGCTGTGTCTCCCTAGGCAAGTCACCTAACCTCTGTTTGCCTTAGTTTCCTCATCTATAAAATGGAAATTATAGCACCCACCTTTAAGGAGTGTTGTGAGGATCAAATGAGATAATTGTAAACCTAAGCTGAGTAGTGTTTGGTAAATGTTAGCTATTATTATATTAATTAGATCATTGGTCCAGTCCTTTTAGTTAAGATAAAATCAACCTGCATTGATCTTAGGGGAAAAAAAAAGGATAACATAAAGATATCAAAAAAGAAAGTCTCCTGAATAAGTGAAATGAACACTTATGACCAAATATTTTAGATTTAGAATATACATGAACTCCCCTATTTTACAATAAGGAAAATCAAGCCCAGAGAAGTTAGATGACTTGCTAAAGGCTATACAGGCAGTGTACTGCTTTTTCAACCAAAGTCCTCTGAATTCAAATCCAGTGTTCTTTTTAGCTGCTCTGGCAGTGTCTTCTTCAAGTCAGCTTACAACTTTTCAAAGAAATTACATTGTTTTATTTTTTTTTTTATTACAAATAATATTATAAATCATTACATTATTTTATTATTTTACACTTCTATGGAGGAATCATATTTTTCATTATGGGAAAAAGAATCTTTGTAATATGCATTTCAACAGGTCACCTAAAGATGTGAGTTTTATTGTTAGCCTCATGTTGTACCCTTAGGACTTCCAGCCCTTTCCACCTGCTCTATAGTTGAATTATATAAAATTACTTTTGGCTTTCCAGTCATAGAACAAAATGGCTCATTTATTTTAAATGTTTGAAGTCCCAAAGTATATTTCCTCTAGTCACCAGACTGTCCTGATTTTATGTGCACAAGTATTTAAACAATAATAATAACAACACACATTTGTATATCACTTTAAGGTATGCAAAAACACTTTAGTCCCAACAAACCTGTAAAGTAGGTACTACAAGGATAAATATTTACATTACACAGATGAAGAAACTCGTTTTTATAGGTGACTTTCCCAGGGTCATATGGCCAGCAAATGGCTGAATTATTATTGGATTGCATCCCTCTTGACTCCAAGTTCAGTACTATATCACAACTGTCTCTCACATCTTAAATCGCACTGGGTTTAGTGCACAGCTGTTATAATGAACATTTAGGTTTCTAGATTGACCTTTAACAGACATGTAAAAATGAATTCTCACCTGCTCCTGAAGTTGGGCATGGTTCACAAGCCTTATTCCAAACTTTGCCAAAATTATATGTGTAGAGGCACATCCTCTTGGTCTCATTAAAGGGCAGCTCATTTTCACATATGGTTTTGTTCTGGTAGCAAAAGCTTTTTCTCATGTCTATAAATAGAAAAAAACAGTTTTAAGGTGATAAATAATTTATCTGTCCATTGACGAGGCTCAAACAACTGTAGACCTAACCTTCTAAAAATCTCCATTTTCATTTTTTATCACCTTTGCCAATCTTATAGGTGTAAGGTAGAAACTTCAAGGCTGCTTAAACGTTGCACTTTGCTTATTAGTGATTTGGAATATTTTTTCATATGATTGCTAGTTTGCTTTCCTTTTTTCTGAGAAGTATCTGACTGACCATTTATCTATCATAGAAGGGCTTTTGAATAAAATCTCTCTATGTATTGTAGATATCACAAAATAACAAAATAACAAAAGTTTGCTGGAGATTTTCCCCTATTTACCTGTTTTTCTTCTTATTTTAATTGTGAGATTTTGTTTGTGCAAAACCTTTACAATATTTATATAGTCAAAATTGTTTATGTAATGTCCTGTAATCATCTCTGTCCATTTTTTAATCAAGAACTCTTTTCCTGTCTATAGTTATGAATAGTATCTCCTTTACAATTCCTCTAATTTGTTTATGACATTTTATATCTACATATTCTGTCCAACTGATGCCTATTGTGGCATATGGTGTGAAATGTTAGTCTAATTTTAATTTCTACTAAATTGCTTTCTAGTTTTCTCAGAAGTTTCTGTTATATAGTGAGCCCTTTAATTTATCAAATAGTATGCTATACTTATTTGTTTCTGAATTTTGACAAGCTAATCATTTCCAAATCAGAAGTTAAATGTAAAATCCTACTTCAGCCATCTGCTATCTGCATGCCCTGGGATAATACACTTACCTTCCCAGGCATTATCTCTTGTAAAATGAAGGGGTTGGACTAGATGACCACTAAGGTCTCTTTCATTTCTAAAATTTTTAGGTGTTTCATTTTAAGGTAAAACTTGTAACTTATAAATAGAACATAAACGTGATTTGAGAACAATCTTACTACCTCTAGTTTGCTGATATTATCTTTTAATACATATTTTTGTGTATGAAAATAAACAATTTTTAAAAATCTCAGCAATTTTGTAGGCAGGTTTAGAAAATATGATATTGTGACAAGAGCTTTCAAACTTTATACATACAGGAAGTATGACTTACCTCCTAAATCTGTCATCAGTCATGCAGATTTGTCAGATTTTTGAATGGTTTATAGAAATGAATGAAATCTTAAAAATCAAAATAATGACATATTATATAGAATTTCACATACCCATACAGTTATGTCCGCCATTGATTTGCATATATTCAGGAGGACAAATGCAGGTGTAATTTCCCAAGGTGTTATAGTAGGTCCCAGGCCCACAGACACCAGGATGTGTAAAACATTCATCAAAATCTAGAAAAAGAATAAATTATAATTGCTAACCAGAGACTATTGAAGAATAGTTATTGAAAAAAAGAGAAGTTTTCTTAACATTAAAATATAAGTGTATTTCTTTGGGATAGGGAGCTCTGTATGTGAAAATTTCTTTGGAGCGGGGAGCTTCTAGTGTGAAAACTCTCTTTATTGATAGATTTAAGTGTTCTATTGCTTATAATTTTAGTGAGGTGCCTGAGGCACTGAAAGTCTTTCTGATCTGAAAGCTGGCACTCTGTCCGTTCTGTCATATTCATATTAAATATCAGGGGTTCATATTGGACCATAATAGATCCATGATAGGATAACATAGCATTTATCTTAGAAACACTTTTTATAATTGATTCTGGTGGTCTGGTTCCAAAAGGGCCATCGCTTAACTCCAGAGTATGTGATTTTTTTTAATAAGAAAGTAGAAAGACAATTGATTCAATCTCCTCTGTAATAGCCATTCCTAGGGCTTGTTTCTTGTACAATCACACCTACCCTTATCATCCAGCATGTCCACTACTTTATCTCTTCCCTCCATCTATGCATTTTCTTAACCTCCTCCCTGGTAAGCTCAGTATGGACCTCTCAAAGCAATTATAATTGAACTGATACAGGACACTAACAGCAGCAGCTACACAAATGCCATTAGGAGTCCTCTCTCTACATAGTATCCACTCCCTGCCCTCAATGTCACTTGGGCCTTCAGCCATTCTCCCTTGAAGAGTGGGCTCTATGTTCTGTGGAAGTGACAGATCAGAGGCTTTTCCTATTTTTATTTTGGATGGGATAGAGTGAGTCTTACAGGATGAGCTATAATGAATAGGTTTTAATCAGCACCTCAGCTCTCATTAAACTATCTCTCCTCCCAAATCCACCCTCTTCCAAAGTTCCCTATTATTTTTATCCTTCCAGTCATCCAAGTTCATTATCTTGGTGTCACCTTCGATTCTTTTCTCTATATCTCACTCTACATATCGAGTCAGTTGCCAAATCTTGCCATTCTACCTCCACAGCATCTCTCGCATCTATCTCCCTTCTCTCTATTCACACTAGCACTTTAATACATAATGAATCATCCTAGCTCAGGCGCTCATCACCTCTCACCTGGAGACTATTTCAATAACTTTCTAGTTGGTTTCTCTGTCTCATGTCTCTTTTCTTTCTAATCTTCCCACTACACATACAAAGTAATTTTCCTAAAGTGCAGGCCTGACCATGTCACTTCTACTCAATAAACTCCAGCGGTTCCCAGGTTTACTGTAAGATCAAATTTTATTTCATCTTTATCTCATCCTTTAAAAATTTCTGTTGCTTTTATAATGAAAGGCACTGTGGGATGACGAACAGAAAATGAGTTTCAAAGGCCAGGTCAGACTTGATTTCAAGTACTGCTTATGACTTGTGGGCATTTTATTTAACCTTTCAGACCTCAGGCCAATTCTCTAAAATTAAAAGTTGCAGATAGAAGATGGCACAGAATAGGCAGGGACTCACCTGAGCTCTCCCCCAAATCCCACCAAACTTCTTTAAATAATGCCTCAAAACAAATACTAGAGCAGCAGAACCTACAAAAAGATACAAAGAAGCAATTTTCTAGCCCCAGACAACTTAGAAGATCAGCAGGAAAGGTCTGTTGCACAGGGGTAAGAGTGGAGGATTGTCCAGTGTAGGCTGCAGTGCCCCAGCAAATGAGCAGTAGGTCTTGGGGGCAACTGAATCAGCGGCAGTTTGCAGACCTCTCAACCCAAAGAGGGTAAGGGGGTCAGAAAACTGGTCAGAAGAAGATTACAGGGATATCTTTTTTTGATACAAGGACAGAACTCTGTTTCATTGCCCCTACTTGGATCTGGGTTACAGTCCTAGGTTTCAGGGAGAAGAGGGGCACTAGCACACCAGAGATTGCAGCTGCAGTGGAGCTGGGACCTTGAGTCTGGTAAAAGTTCCAGGGCGGAAAAGAGTGCTTCTAGTTTCTCACAGAACAGAGCACAGGTCAGGAGACTAATGAACACACCTGTCCTTAGATCATAACACCTTGAAGGAACTGAAAACTTATAGGTCCCCAGAATTATCTCTGAAAACAGCTACACAAAAAATCTGAAGCTTGGGTTAGTGCTTCATCCATTCTGGAAGCAGAGCCCCAGTTTAGCATAGAGTTAAAAGTCAAGATATAGGCTGGAAAAATAAGCAAACAGGAGAAAAAGATTCTGACTACAGAAAGTTACTATGGTGACAGGGAGGATCAAAACACAAACTCAGAAGAAGACAACAAAGTCAAAACTGCTACATCTAACATTTCAAAGAAAAATATGAATTGGCCTCAGGCCATGAAGAGCTCAAAAAAGATTTTAAAAATCAAGTAAGAGAGGTAGAAGAAAATTGAGAAATGATAGTCATGCAAGAAAATTATGAAAAAGAGTCGACAGTTTGGTAAAGGAGGCACAAAAAATACTGAAGAAAATAATACCTTAAAAAACAGAACAGGCCAAATGGTTAAAGAGGGACAAAAATCCAATGGAGAGAAGAATGTCTTGAAAAGCAGAACTGTCCAAATGGAAAAAGAAGTACAAAAAATCACTGAAGAACTCCTTAAAAAGTATAATTGGCCAAATAAAAAGGAGGTACAAAAACTAACAGAAGAAAATAATTCCTTAATTGGGCAAATGGAAATGGAAGCTAACGACTTTATGAGACATCATGAAACAAATAAACAAAATCAAAAGATTGAAAAATAGAAGAAAATATGAAATATCTCACTGGAAAAACAACTGACCTGGAAAATATATCTAGGAGAGATAATTTAAGAATTATTAAACCACTTGAAAGCAATGATCAAAAACAGAATCTAGGCATCATGTTTCAAAGAATTATCAAAACTGCCCTGATATTCTAGAACCAGAGGGTAAAACAGAAATTGAAAGAATCTACTGATTATCTCCTGAAAGAGATCCCAAAATGAAAACTCTCAAATATTCTAGCCAAATTCCATAGCTCCCAGGCAAAAGAGAAAATACTTCAAGCAGCCAGAAAGAAACAATTCAAATATCACAGAGCCACAGTCAGAATAACACAAGAATTTGTAGTTTCTACATTAAAGGATCAGAGGGCTTAGAATATGACATTCTGGAAGGCAAAGAAACTATGATTGCAACCAAGAATCACCCACCCCGAAAAACTGAGGATAATCCTTCAGGGGTAAAGTGGATATTCAATGAAATAGAGGATGTTCAAGCATTCCTGATGAAAAGACCAGAGATGAATATTCGCAAATCTGACTTTCAAATACAGGGTTCAAGAGAAGCATAAAAGTTAAGCAGGAAAAATAAATCATAAGGGATTCAATAAGGTTAAACTATTTACATTCTTACATGGGAAAACAATACTTGTAAATCCTAAAACCTTCTTCATTATCAGGGCAGTTAGAAGGAGTATACATAGACAGGGCATGAGTCTAAGTTGAATATGAAAGCTGAATAATTAAATTAAGGAGTAAGAAAGAGAAATGTACTGAAAGAGAAGGAGAAAAGAAGAGGTAGAATAGGGTAAATTATCTGACATTAAAGAGGTAACAAAAGAACTTTTACAGTGGAGGGGAACATGAGGGCAGTAGGGAGGGAAAGCACGAACCTTTCTTTTATCAGAATTGGCTCAAGGAGGGAATAGCATATAAACTCAGTTGGGTATGGAAATCTGTCTTACCATACAAAAAAGTGGGAGAAAGGGATAAGAGATAAGGGGTGGATGGGAAATAGAAGTGACAGCAGATTGGGGGAAGATAAAAGCCAGAAGAGCAAAATACTTTTGTGAATGGATAGGTGAAAGGAGAGAGAGATAGATTAGGATAAATGGGAGAAATAGGATGGAAGGAAATACATAGTAAGCAATCATAACCATGGAAAAAAAATTACAACATATTTTTCTGATAAAGACCTCATTTTTCAAAAATAAAGAGAACTGAGTCAAATTTATAGAAACCAGAGGATATAATCAAAGCTATCTATAGTCTTATGAAAAATGCTTTAAAACACTACTGATTAGAAAAAAAATGCAAATTAAAACAACACTTAGGTACTACCCCACACCTATAAGAATGGTTCATATGACAGAACAAGAAAATGACAACTACTGGAGTTGATGCAGGAAAATTGAGACACTAATGCACTGTTGGTGAAATGGTTCAACCACTCTGTAGAGCAATTTGGAACTATGGCCAAGGGTTATAAAACCATGCACACCCTTTGACCCAGTAATACCACTATGAAGTCCGTATCACAGAGAGACAAAAGGCAAACAGGAAAAGGAGCTGTATGTACAAAAATATTTTTCTAGTAGTTCTTTTAGTGGTGATAAAGAATTGGAAATTGAGGGATGTCCATTAGTTGGGGAATGGCTGAACAAGATGTTGCACATGATTGTGATGGAATTTTAGTGTGGTGTAAGAAATGACATGCAGGATGCTTTCAGAAAAACCTGGAAAGGCTTACATGAACTGATGCAAAGTGAAATAAGCAGAACCAGAAGAACGCTGTATATAGTAACAGCAATATTGTATGATGATCAACTGTGAATGACTTAGCAATACAATAAAGCAAAATAATTCTGAAGAACTCTACGATGAAAAATGCTCTTCATTTTGAGAGAAGGAACTGATAAGAATCTGAATGTAGAATGAAACATACTTTTCCTTTTTCTTATTTGTGTGTGTGCGTGTTTTCTTTCAGTGTGTGTGCGTGTTTTCTTTCACAACATGACTCACACAGAAATATGCTTGGCACAACTGCACAAGAAAAAAACTACATCAAATGGCTTGCCTTCTCAAGAAGAAGGGTGTATTGGAAGGAGAAATGGAGAGAATTTGGAACCTAAACTTTTTTTTAAAGAATGCTAAAAAATTTTTACATGTAATTGGGTAAGAATATTAAAGTAAAAAAGTTGCACATAAGGTGTTGACCTGTATTGATAAACAGTTTCCTTACCCAGCTACTCCCTCTATCAATGAAATGACAAGTTCAATTCCTATTTCAATCTTTTATTTAAGTTTTATAATTTACATGTATTAGTGCAGTTGTCCATTTATATTATATATATATGTATATGTATATAGATATAGATATAAACATACTATGTATGCACACATTGGGATGACTGCTCAAATATGATTTATAGGTGAGGTATATGATAAAAGTTTGGTGACCATTGCTCTATAAGAGAAAGTCATTCTTTACTAAACCATTTTTCTGCCAGGATCTTTTGCCCCTTCCCTCACTCTTTCAGTATAATTATCAAATACGATAATAATTAAAATAAGTGGTCTACATAGTGTGATGTTTGCTTGTTGAAAAAAAAAAAGGAAATGTATGTAAAATTTTGATATTGTAATATAGTCCTGAGCATAAGCTTTGATAAAAGAACTCAGTAGCTCTTGGTGGTGGTGGTGGCGGGGGTTAGATCTGGCAGCCCAAAAAAGTTTAGGGGAGGGAAAAGGAAGGGGATAAACATTTATATAGCATCTACTATGTACCAGGCACTGAGCTAAGCACTTTATAATTATCATCTCATTTGATCCTCACAACACCCCTGTGATGTAGTTACTCCTATTTTAAGACTGAGGAAACTGAGGCAACCAGAAGTTAAGTAACTTGCCCGGAGTCACACAGTAAGTGTCTGAGCCTAGATTTGACTTCAGGTTTTCCTGATTTCCTATCCACTGTTCCACCTAGATTCCATGGTGATGAGGAAGAGAAATACAAGCAGGAAAGCATGGTGGGCTAGGGCCCTGCAGGCAAGAAAATATGGCAGATTATTTAAAGGAGCAGAAAATTGGCTACCCCTACAGAAGCCTGATCAGTAGAGGGTTCTCCCTCCTTGGCTGAGAAACTCAGCACTTGAAGGATTCTATTACGCTCTGTTTTACTATCCACCACTGCTTGTCATAAACTTGAGCAATGGGCTTAGAATCAGGAAGACTCATCTTCATGAGTCATTTAACCCAGTTTGCCTCAATTTCTCATCTGTAAAAATGAGCTCAAAAAGGAAATGGCAAATCATTCCAGCACCTTTGCCAAGAAAACCCCGAAAAGGGGTCATGAAGAGTCTGACATGACTGAAACATGACTACACAAAACAACAAAGTATTTCCAAACTGCTCTGACAATAGAAGGTAAATGGATAACATCAACATCTTAAATATGCCATGAACCATTTAAATGAACTTTCAGAGAAAATATTTTTAAAATATTGTATGTAATTTTGAGGACCCACAAAACGTTTTTGGAAAGAAGTGAGAATTTGATTCCCAAAAAAATTATTCACAAATATCCCAAATTATTCCCAAATAAACAGATTTCTCTCATGGAATTTGTGAATTGGACATTTTTCTCTAGAAGTAACCTCTAATTTTTCTCTAAGTATTTTACTTTATTTGTAAGAATTTGCTCCACCTTCACAGATACATGTTTCCTCACTAAGGTAGTAGCCATGTGGACATACACACTGGAAGCTTTCAAAAGTGTTGATACAGTTTTCACCTTGGCAGAGACCTGGTAATTCTTGGCATTCATCAATATCTGCATAACAGAAAAAATCATAATTGAAAACAACTGCTGTAATCCAAGAGAAGAATGATTTTGACATATGTAATTGCTGTATACATCTAAGTTAATGCATATTGAATTGACATGATTTTCTAGACTACTGATTATTTTAGCTTTGCTATAGTTTTAAAAGGGTGACGGAGTTGGGAGGATTGTTCAAATTTGGTAGTGATGGTAAAATGTTTTCTTTTTGCTCCACATCATTCAGATAATACTGTGATATGATTACTTTGTAAGAATAATGTTTGTCATTTTGCTTCCTTTTAATTGAATTTTCAACTGCTTCAATGAACTGTGATTTTATTTATAGAGGGATTCCCTGCAATGACAGAGATCCATGCCTGCTCAACTCTCATCCTATTTTCCCATAAATCTGCCAATGGCAGTCTACAAAATATATGGTAGTCCTTCTAGATCTCTTCATATGTAACATACCAACAGAATATGTTGTGTTATTTGTAGGTTATCTCTTGTTCTCATTACCTGACTGAGCTTTTTTTTTTTTCTGGCCATACATCTCTTTGATGATATCCTTTATCCAGTATCTCCAGATTAATTTTTGCTTTTATTATGTTATAGCTAGCTTATATCCATTCACATTTCTGAATCTCCCAAATGAAACACATAATCACTCAAAAGATTTTGACTTACCTATATATACATAGGAAAAATTAAATTCTACACACAAGAGAATAGACATCCCACAGATTTTATCAATTAGTACATATATCTTGTTTAGTCACTATAAATGGTTACTAAGTTGAAGTCATAATTGATATGAGGAGAGCAGGCAGAACTGTCTTTAAGAAACTATAGTACTTTTAATGACCCTAAGCTTCTCCCTGACACATAAGCCCATATTTTTAATACCAATACTTTTCTAATGATACCATATGGGTACAAGTAATGAAATACCACAACATTCAAAGATTTAAAGATGCTCAACAACCAAAAGGGAAAAGATTCACAGTTAACAGTTAAGTGCAACTATCCATCAACATAGTAATAAATTACAGCTACATTCCTATAACATACATGTAGTCTTCCTTAAAATGGATTTAAAACCAGATTTTTTATTCAGCATGCTAAAACTTTATTAGATGATATATGAGGTGATAATTTCAAGGGTATATCTATTTTTCAAGAAATATCTAAAAATTATTTTTCAGTACTATATTTTCCAGCTGGTTCAGATATTGGTGGTTATTAGAAATGAACTCACCTTCAAGGATGACAGTGACAGGATTAGGTCTGAAGCCTTCACCTCCTGGACACAGAGTATAATATTCAGCTAGGGAAAAAAAGGGCACATGATATAGCCAATGAAGCTTTTATTGTTATTATATACAAATGCTGTCAGCAATGTTGTCTCCTCTTTAACTACCTTGAGTCTTTCCTGATCTTACCCTTGCAAGCTCTGGTTTACAAGTCTAGGCAACAACTGTAAACTTGTCTTTTGTTGGAGCTCATGTAGTCTCTTGCTAGCCCCAACTCCTGTCAATTAGATAAAAGTCTCTGCAGCTTCAGAATGACAGATCTGCAGGATTCCCCCTGTGGTCTGCGATCCCTTTCCTGATTACTCAGCTGCAGGTGTGTGTGTGTGGGGGGTGGGTTTGAATTTGAGATGTTGTTAACTTCTGTTCTTCATCTTTGCCCAGCACACAGCCACAAGCTCAAAACTACTCCTTGCCTTAGTCTGCTGCTCTCAGGCACACATTTTCTCCTCAGTCTACAATGAACTGGTGGTCCAGCTCTGGGATACAAATGACCAAGTGGCTGCTGGCTCCTGGTCCTGTACCCTGTATAGTTTCCCTGTCTCTGCAGGACCTCTTCTGGCCTAAGCACACAGCCACAGACCCCAGTCCAGACTCCACGCCAGAAGACTCTGCTCAGCACCTTGTTCCCATTGCATCCGGACCTAGTTGTGTCTCCCTCTGATGACCCTAGACTGGAAAAATGATTTATTGGGTTTCTTGGAATTCCTAATCACAATTTGGTCTAGCACTCTTTCTAGGTCTTTGCTGGAATAGTTGTAGGAGAAACTTGGGCTGTACTGCTTCTTCTTCTATGCCATCTTTTCTAGTCTCCCCAGGTATGTATATTTTTAAATGTTTCTACTCATCTATCTTAAGTTCTTTAACTATGCTATCCAACAGTTTGTTCTCTTTTGTTTTATTCTTTTGTTAGATCTGTGCAGCTCTGAGAGAAAATATGAAGGTCTCCTACTCTTGTATTCTAATATACATACATATGTTTATATGTATGTACGTATACATATATATCTGCAATTCTGTTACCCATTTCCTTTACTGAGTTTATGTGCTATGTCATTTGGTACGTTCGGTATTGATATTGGTTCACTGTCTATGCTTCCTTCAAGCAAATATAATGAAATTTCCTTATTCATTTCAATCTTTTATTTTTGCCTGACTGCATGATTCTAATTGCTGTCTCTGTATGACCTCTTCTGGCCAAAGCACACAGACATAGACCCCAGTCCAGACTCTGTGCCAGAAGGCTCTGCTCAGCACCTTGTTCCCATTGTATCTAGACCTTGTTATGTCTCCTTCTGAAGATCTAGACTGGAAAAATGATTTATTGGGTTTCTTCGATTTCCTAATCACAACTTGGTCTAGCACTCTTTCTAGGTCTTTGTTGAAATAGTTGTACGATATTGATTTCACCTTGCTGGGGTCCTTACCCTCTTTCTCCTGTGGATTTAGCTGTAATTACTTTAAGTCTGGTGCATAATTCCTCTTTTTTGAAGGGTTAAAGCGGTTTGGAGAAAGTTATTAAGACACCATTGTGCTGGTCATGTGATCTTGACTCTCCAAAATCTGCTTTCAAAAGCGTTATAACCTTATAAATTATATGCACATAATGGAAATAAAATAGAAGGGAAAATAACATATTTTTCCCCTTGTATACAAATGAATTGGCAATCCAATTCTGGGATACAAAAGCTGAGTACTGTGCTGAAAATGAGCTGTAGCTTATGTCAGTGTTGGAACTTAAAAGAATTTGAAGATAAGGTATTCTGTGACTAACTTCAAGAAGGAAATTAATCTCCAAACAGACTAACACCATTTAAGAAAAACTATAATAAAGATTTATCTATGATACTGTGACAAGGTAAAGTTGTGGTTTATACCGGGTTCTGGTTAATACATTTTATTCTAGTACACAAACTTGAAAAACGATAAGAATTCAATTTCCTTTTTCTAAACAGAAACATTTCAGTCTATATGGATGCAAAGATAGGCTTATCCTGTTCCACAAAAATCTACCATCTACCATTTTGAATTTTTCAAGAGGAAAAGTCTTAATATATTAACTTTTTTTTTTTCAGAGAAAATATTACATTGCCCTTGGAATATTGGTGCCAACCTGTTTGAATAGTATTAACTGAATGATAAAAAAAATTTAGTATGACTGTGCCAAAAGTAGTCCATTGCATTTCATAATTAAAATGTGTAAGTTTGATGGAGTTTTATTTTTGAGAATTATTAAAATGCATTTAAAATCCAGATCATTCACTGCAACATTAAGTTACTCTTAACATCAGTCCAATTTTATTTCTTTGAAATTCACACAATTATTCAAAATATACAAGGACTAAAATAAGACTAACTTTTCAGATTTCCTTTTTCCCTTTTCTTGTTGGTGTTGGCTGCCAGTGGAGATCTGTCTCCAAAGGGTTGTGAGAAGATTAAGATCAATCCCATATCATTTTCTTATTGATCCTATTTACAATTAATTAATTTTGTCCTGTAACTTCTAAATTCATGGTTCTTTGTCTCTGAACTTAGTTCAGAGTTCAGCTAGCCTGTAAGGTGTTAAGTTTAAAAATCCAGCTCTCCTGCTCATGGAATTTAACTGACCTTGGAGAATGCATGTGAATAGAAAGGGAGTTCCACCAAGCTATCCTTCAAGGATGTAGAGTTTGCTTTCCAAAAGTCTGGGCTGCTATCTCACATCTGGACTCAAACATCTTAGTCTCATGAGAGGAGAAGGGGGATTTCTGATAGTCTCCATTACCAAACTTCCAACCAATTATGTTTTTCCCTGTGCCTCACCTTTATAACCAATCATACTGTCCTCAATTCCATGGTGTCATCTACCCTGTTCTGTTCTTGGGTCTTTGGCATAAAAAAAGGCAATCCATTGACCCAGTTATTGACAGGTGACATGCCTCAGCTAATAAATGTTATCTTGCACAGAGATCTGCCTCAGTTTTCCCTTTTGTTAAAATCTCAAGCATAGCAGTTGCTACATTCAGAAAAATTTCAAAAAGATACTTATACTTACTGCTGTTCACAGGTGCACAACTCTCACAGAGATTTCCCCAGGCCTTTCCCAGACAGCAGCAGCATGAGGAGAGACTAACTCCAACACCAATGTCAGTGTTGCAGGACAGAAGCCCTTCCCCATGAGGACTAAATTTCAGGTAGCAATTACCAACTTGATTATCTGTAGAACAATACAGGAACTTATAATTACTGGTACTGGATGAAGGAATACTACAAACTTTAACATTTCTTTTGTGAGAAAATGGAAAAGACTTCTTAATACATCTAATATAACCGCATTTGGAAAAAATACCCTCTACCATGTCCCTACCACCTTCTCAGGTAGTCCATCACACATTGGGATAGTTATCATTATTATTATTATTATTATGTTTTTCCTTATATTAAGCATATGCCATCAATGCATTACTCTTAGTGGAATCAAATAGAACAAATCTATTTCCTCTTTCACATGACAATTCTTCAATTCCACTTAACGTTTCTGTTCTCTAGGTCAAACCCCCAGTCTTTAAATCCACCTTTGAATGACATGAATTGCCTTAATCACCTAGTTACCTCTTCTCTAAATGTGCTTGAGCTTAATAATATTTCCATACAATGTTCCTGAATTTGTACTTCAAATAGGGTTTGACTGAGACAGAACACAAGTATAGCACTTTCCTAATTCTGAACACCATCTCTCAATGTAGCCTAAGATCGTATTACTATTTTTGATGGCAACAGCACATTGTTGACTCACAATTTATAGCCAATCAGACACCTCTTCTCACCCCCCAGTCTTTTTCGTATGTCTAGGTTTTTGGTTGGTTTGTTTGTTTTATTTTCTCATCAAGTATGGTAGCTCCTCCTTTGTTAGTGATGAACTTGTCAGCCTAGGACCAAACAGATCTCTGGTCAATTGTCTAGAGCTCTACTTCCCAGTTTACAGCAAACCACTAAAACATTCAATCTTTTCAACCAGTTCCTAGTCCACCAAAATAGGTTATCATCTAGTCTACATTTCCTCATTTTTTCCATAACACAAGAGAATTTGCTATATGCTTTCCTAAAATCTTGGTAAACCATACATATCTATATCTTCTAATTTGTTCTGTCAAAAATGATTAATATGGCATGATTATAAGAGGTCATGCTGCCCATTTGTAATCACCATTTACTTTTCTATGTGACTAGTAACCATTCTTTCAATATGTTTTAGTATTTTGCCAGGTTTAAAAGTTAAACTCAGTGCTCCGTAGTTTGAAGACTCAACTCTCTTCTCATTATTGAAAATAAGATCATTTGCTCTTCTCCAATCCTGCAGTAGCTGTTTTGCTCTCCATGAACTTTCCAAAGTCACTGATAGTGACCTCAGAAATAATACCTGCTAGTTCTTTCAACAACCTGGTATGTAGTTTACTTATGCCTAGTGATTTAACGTTATCAAGGGTTGCTGGGTACTCTCTTATAATGTCTCCAGTTGAAACTTTGAGTTTCAACATATTAGACACTTCTATTACGTCTTTTATAGCCCAAAGACATTTTTGGCTAAGAAAACAAAAGCAAAATACAAGCTGAGAAGCTTGACTTCATCCTATCCATCCTGAGCAGTAGTACTGGTCCTTCTTTTATCCTATTTTCCCTATTTTAGGTGCAACAAGTCTATTTTTCTTCTGGACTGACCTCCATAGAAAAATTTTTGTCCACAGGATCCTATCTTTCCTCTACATCCTTTGAAATATGATCTCCCAAAAGCAAGAGAATATATTATCTTGTTTTTCTTTCCTCTAAAATAGAATGTAAATTTGGATGATTACTTCTACTAATAACCCCACAATTTTTAACGATCTTTAATTATTTGCTGTCTAGAATGGTCATCTACCTTTAAAAGGATGAAACTGTCATTTGGGAAACTCAGAAAATTATTAGGTACTCTGCTCTTTTTGGAGAGAGTAAACTTGATCAGACTTCAAATAGTAGAACTTCCTAATCATTGCCATATTATGCTTCCACATACCATATGATGATGTATTTGTGAGATGTTTTCTGCACTTTTTATATAATTCCGCTTTCTTAGTGTTCTACAGTAAAATCAGTGAGAACATTGCTTCTATGAATCTTCAAATTATTTCTACCATGCTTCTGCCTTTTGGCTCCTGGAATTCCTTACACATTATCTTTTTAACAAACATTAATATTTTACACTCCAGATAGGAACTGTCTTTCAGATATCTGCTATAGGAAAGGCAATTTGTATAAATCTTGAGAGAGTAAAGAATGTAAAGATTTGGGAAAGTGGAACTAAAAATGAAGTTAATAATGACTAAAATATATTTCTGTGAAATTTGAAATATTTTTGAAAATTATATAACTACTGATTACCTAAAAATTCTAAAGTGTGTCTAATTTGTGACTCATGGTAGAAAGTATTTCTTATTTTTCACATCAAGATAAATGGCACCATAATAAACAGGAGTAAAGGCATTGAGGATAGTAGGAAACAGCAGTTCAGTAAAGGCATGGGACATCCTTCTGTCTTGATCTCTTAATCAGTTCTTTTATTTTAACTAAAAAACTTCTCTAGGTAAATACAATCTAGTAGGAATATGATAGATAGGAATGAATTGCAGAGTAAAACTTTAGAAGGACCTGTCTTTTCAAAGAAATGATGAAAAATACAGATGTTCTTATATTTAATATAACAATTTAATATAAACAATATATTATATAAATTAATATTTTCTTATCTTTATCTTTAATACAATCTATATATTTCTATCTATCTTATAAAGATATCTATCTTAATCCATATCTTTAATTATATTTTCTTATCTTTAGTACAATTATAATATAATCTTTAATATAATTCTATCCTTTCCTCCTCTGGCCCAATCTCTTTTATCCATTTGTTAACATTTTCCTGATTACTTTATCTTATTAACTCATTCAGAGGCAACTTGCAGAAAAAGCTCTATATTGAGGGTCAGAAGTCCTACTCCAGGCTCTAAGTTCCTTTACTAGGCTGTTGACCACGGACAAGATATTTCAGTTTTCTGAACTTCAGTTTTCTCATTTAGAAAATGAAGATGGAAACATCTACCCACATCCCTTTAGAGGGTTATAATAAGGATCAAATGAGATTGACATGTACATGAAAGTACTTTAGAAATGGTCAATCATTCCACAAATATAAAGTATCATCATCATCACCATCATTTCCTCAAATTTCTCCCTCTATTAGGTGAATGAAAGAAATATTAAACACCCCAAAGGGGATATGAAAATGGTGATCATTGTTACATATTTAATAAACTTGACTGTTAGCTAAGAAGAATCGGGGGAAATTAATTTAAATTATGTATTTTAAAAATTATCTCCAAAAAAGGACTCATTAGAATTCATGCTCTAAGGAAGCTGAATAAATATTGTTTTCTGTTTATTTTTGTTTTTTTTCATAAATTATACATACCCACACAACCTACACCAGTTGGGTTTAGCTGGAAGTCTGATGGAAAGTTACACTCATACTGACCAGAAGTACTAACACAGAGACCATTAACACAATTGATGGGATCAGCACACTCATCAACATCTAGAAGAAAAACATTTTAATACAATTTTTAATTCTTAAATGTCCCACATAGATTGATGTTCCAAATCAGTTTAAATGATTGAAAGAGTTTTAAATAAAGGGAAGGAAAAGGTACAGAGAAGAGTCAAAGTTTGAAGGATCAAATATGTAACATTAAGCTAAATGTAATTTTGTTTTCTATAATTTCAATGAGAAAACAGATTTTTAAAAACTCTTCTTGAATAAGGTCAATATTATATTTTGTAAGGTTGCAAAGGAAGGCTCCTTGTTCTCCACTAACATTTTTAGACTATCCCTCTGCCATAATCATTTAGCAATATCTCTTCCTTTGATGTTTACACCATCTAGATTTATCTTTCTATTAAGATCCTGGTAGCTATTATTTATCAGGCCTCAGGACATTACTCTTCTTTCCTCAATAAGTTCAGGGCCTTTCTTACAGTCTTGCTCTCTACCTCAACTCTTGCCTTAACATTAGAGGACTTTAATATATGTGCATATATGTATACATACATAGGAACACACATTCATATGCACGTATACATCATTCAGATATCTTTCTCTACTACCACCCCGTTTACTCTAGAGGCAGCTGATGGCACAGTGGACTGGGCCTGCAGTCAGGAAAACTTGAGTTCAAATATGGTCTTAGACACTTACTAGCTGTAAGACCCTGGGCTAGGCAAGGCACCTGACCTTTTTTTTTTTTTTGGCTTCAGTTTCCTCAAGGTGAAATGCACCTATCTTGCAAAGTAATTGTGAGGATCCAATAAAAAAAAAAAGCAGTTAGCACAGTGGATGGCACATAGTACTGCGCATTCTTTTCTCTCTTCCCTTCCTCCTTCCCATTCCTGTCTTAGATTTACATTTGTATGTATGTATGCATATATATGTATGTATGCATATCGATAGATAGATAATAGATAAATACTCCCTCAACTAACCTAACTTCCCAGTTCCTCATTCTATTCAGTTTCCAGGACCAACTCCTTTCCTGTAGCTCAACCATACAGATGGTCATCTCCTTTATCTTACCATCACTTAGAACTACTCTGTTAATGCACTCCAAATTTCCTTTATTTGCTCGTCATCTTTCATAATTCAATTCATTCCCTATGCCTTATGATCCTTAGTCCTGTCCTTTGTTCCTGGCATGACCTCTAACTTCTTTACTCTTCAGTTTTTGTTTTTGTTTTTTTTTCCCCAAGCCATCACTCCTTGCAATGGCTATACTCTCCTCCCTTCCATATCTCAACTCTGATGAATCAGTTCAACTCTATACTACACTTCATTTTTTAACATTTATTACCCACTGTCTATAACCAGTCATACTCCGCCAAACTGTAAGAATAGATTACTCTCATCATTTGCACCCTTTCCTCTTATTTAAGTACTACTGAATTAAGTCAGAGAAAATCAAGAAACCCTGCTGAGTGCTGAATAAAAATTTATAATAAAAAATAAACTGAGTACTCTATAGCATGTCAATCTTTCTATACCTTCTTAATCTTCTGATTAATTTTGAATAAATCCCACTCACTGAAGCACTTATTTCAAACCTTTCTGTCCCCTCTTGTGAGGATCAAATAATAGGATATTTGTAAAATAAAATTACTTAATACAGTGCCTTACAGATAGTTAGTGTTATAAATGCTTTTTCTCTTCCTCCTTTCTTTTCCCTCTGCCCCTCCATTCTCATCTCAGATCAAAAGGTAGCTCTTTTCCTTGCCAAGATAAACTCCTTTAAATATTCTCTTGATCCCATCTCCTTCTGTTTTCTCCAGGACACTGTCCCCACTATCATCCCCACTCTTTAATCTTCATCTCTTCTTACTTACTTGTTTTTTCTACTACCTACAAATACGCTCATATCTCCTCAATCCTTAAAGTACACTTGTTTCCAACCATTTTACTAGCTATGATCTATAGCTCCTTTCCATCATGGCTAAGTCCCTTAGAAAACTGTCTACAATACATGCTTCACTTCTTGAGCAGAACCAAGAGGACTTTGTACACAATAACAGCCACGTTATGCAATGACTAAGAATGTTAAACTGAACCCTTCTCAGCATTACGAGGATCTAAGACATCTCCAGAGGCCTTGGGGGGGAAAATGCTGTCCACATCCAAAGAAAGAACTATGGAAGTCAAATCGCTATCACTTATTTTTACCTTCTGTTGAGTTTTGTTTCATCTTTCTGATGGTTCCTCCTATTGTTTTTAATTTTTACTTACAACTTCACTAATGTGAAAATATGTTTAATGGGTATGTAAATGTAAAGCCTATGTCAGATTGTATGCCGTCTTGGGAAGGGGGGGGAAGAAAAGGGAGAAAAATTTTCAACTCTAAAGCATATGGAAAAAAAAATTAAAAAATAAAAATTAAAAAAAAAATACATGCTTCACTTCTCCTCTCACACAGGTCCAAAACTTCTGAACCTGGCTTCTCAACAAATGATTCAACTGAAAGTTGCCTCTTCAAAGTTATCAGTGATCTCTTACTTGCCAAATCAAGTAGTTTCTCTCAGTTTTTATCCTTCTTGACTTTTCTACAGTCTTTGACAATACTAACCACTCTCTTAACCTGGGTACTCTCCTTCTCTCGTGTTTTGTGACTGTTCTTTCTTGGTCTTTCTTACATATCTGATTGTTCTTTCTTACTCTCATTTGATATATCTTAATTTTGGTCATGCCTACTAACCAAGGTATCATCTAAGGGTCTGCTCAGGATCCCCTTGTCTTTTCTCTCTACATTCTCTCACTGGATGACTTCATAAGCTCCTAATAGTTTAAATATAATCTCTATGCAGTAACATCTAGATCTATATATACATCCCTAGTCTTTGATGAGTTCCAGTCCCACATCAACTGGTCATAGGACATTTCAAACTAGATGTAGCATTGACATTTCCAACTCAACATGTCCAATAATAGATCATTATCTTCCCTCTACCCCTTCCTCTCTTTCCAGCTCATATATTACTACTGAAGATACCACCATTCTCTAGTCACCTAGGTTTATAATCAAGGTGTCATTCTTGACTCTTCACTCAAATTCATCCTACATATGTAATCTTAGGTCTAATTATTTTTTATATGTCTCCCCTTCTCTCCATTTACACAGTCACTGTTCAGGCATTTCTCAATTGGACTATCGCAACAGTTTTCTAATTGGTCCAACAGGCTCCAAGATGACTTGTAATCAGGAGAAACAGATTTGTGTCAGGACAGCTAGGTGACACAGTAAATAAGACTGTTGGAGCTGGATTCAAGAAGAAATCCAGCCTCTAAAACAAACTGTATGACCCTGGGCCAGTCACTTAACCTCTGTGTGTCTCTGTTTCCTCATCTGTAAAATGGGAATAATAATAGCACTTTATTTCTCAGGGTTGTTCTGAGGTTCAAATGAGATATTTATAAAGCACTCTGCAAACCTTAAAGCTCTATAGAATGCTAACTATTTTATTATTACTATTATTCTCATTATCATCATTATTATTCTAACATGTATAATCTGTTTGAGCCTCATCTGTAAAAAGAGGGTAATAATACTGCAATGCCAACTTATTGGATTGTTTTAAGGGGGGGAAAGGTGTGAAAGGTTAAAGAACTATATAATTACATTGTTATCATTTCTTAAATTTGGCACCAAATATTCACATACACTAATCAGTATATAATCAACTATCTTTAGAACAAATTTTCATATTTAGACAATTGACAGACCTGTACAGTTTCCTTCTGCTCTATCCAATTCATAGCCATCATCAGAGATACTATGAAACATTTCTGGAAGGTTTTTACATGTTCCAAAGACATGGATATTCTGGAATGAGCATTCATCAACATCTACAGACATGTAAAATACATATTATTCCATCATTTGTTCACAATTGATAAAATTTTGGTACTAATATAATTTATTGTATATTTTTAATCTATTCAGATTTCTCCCCTACCTACTAATAACTGAATGATTTATCAAGGGAAAATGATATTTGGATATTTTATCTGCAATTAAAGTTTGATATTAATCAGATACCAAAAATTAATCATTCGTTAAAACAGGAAAGCAATTTTTAGTGAAACCAAAATTAAATGGAAACCATTTAAAGGTGCTATGTTCAACATTTTAAAAAAACAACTTTTTAATTCTTAACTAGAAATAATAAAGCATAGCACATAGTTTAAAAAAATCTGGCAAGTGAATGAGCTAATACATAAAACAAAAACTTCTTTTGGTCAATATTTAAAATTATAAAACATAATTTCTAAATTTAATTTTCAATCATTTTTATTGTGTAGTTTTCTTTATATTGCATTTTGCATTCAACTAGAACCAAGTACCTTATGTACCTTAATAATTAGGTACATAAATCTTCTGACTGCATTCATTAGAAAAGAGTTTTTGTTTCTACAATCATACATGAGAGTCCCTTCCATCCCATCATTTCAAATTTCTTCAAAGTATTTTTGTTTAACTTTAGCTAGAAACTCGGGTTATTGAATATCAATAAACAAGGATATTTTTCTGTGCCTACATTAAAATTAGTGTACATGAATATATTTGTACTGATGTAGTAACTGTGTGTATTCATGCATATGTGTACATATAAGTAAAGAAAAAGAGTAAACTTTTCTAAAACAATTTTCTTTATATTCTTAGAATTTAAAGCTATCTTAAATGGCTTTCTTCAATTGGCCATATATTTATTCACAATAGTTTATTCACAAAGGGGTTTAAATGACTAGTTTCAGTACACTAAAATTAGCAGGTAGGTACAGATTGTGTTGGGCAGCTCACTTTGATAACAAACCTCCAAAATGAGATAATATTTTGCAAACAGTAAATCTGTTTTCTATTGTATAGATTTTCTTATGTATTTTATTAATCAGCAACTGAAACCATACACAATGGAAATAAATTTCATTTTCAAGTGATACATGATGGTTGGAGTGACTTCTATAATTACAAATGATAAACCATGTTTTCAGTTTGTCTACGAACAACTTAATTTATCAAGACCTTCAGATATAAGAATTGTATATATCATCTTACAAATACTTCCTAAAAAAAGTGAGGCTCCTTCAGATACTGGGATCTTCTTCCCTGAATGATCTAAAAATCACTGGGGCAAAAACTGATGAAAAAACATTTTTCACTAGCTAATTTCCTGTTTAAAATTTTAAGAAAAAAAAAGATCTTCCACATTGTATCTATATACATTATGTGTACAATTTAAAAGAAAGTCCAAACCTTTATTATTTGGAAAAATATCATGCTACTACATAAAAACTCTATTCTAGGAAGTGATAGATATCACAATTTAAAGGAAGAATGGGATTATTATTAGCCAATAATATCCTGGATGAGACTCAGAAAATCACATGACCAAGTGAAATATGAAGACGCTACCCAAAATAAGCAGTTGAGATTTTGAAAAATGTACTAATGCTTGGTGTAGACAGCATTTCATTTGGTGAAAAAATGTCGAATAGTTTTTCTATTAATTAAAAACAAAATAACACCACCAGCAAATGAAAAATGGTTAAATAAATAAAACAAAACAAACTAAAAAAAGAGGTGAATCAAATTGGCTCTGATTCAGGAAAATTTTGTGAGATGAATGCTAGCTTCATCATTATTTATGCTGCAAAATAATCCGTGCTGGAAAGAATGTGAAACCTGCTTCCTGGTTGAGGTCATTTCAGCTTCTTTTGTGATTTCCTTCATTATGGCCAATTCAAACTTTAAAATGGAGTCAGAATACTTCTTCTGGCTTACCTTGGCAGAATTTGCTCTCTGAACCTGAAGCGAAGCCCATTCATATTCACATCGAAATGTAGCAGGGATATTCAAGCACTGTCCATTCTCACAAAGATTAAAGTTTTCTGCCCACTCATCAACATCTGTGGAATAAAGAGACTCAACCACTATAAAACTGTCATGACTTTTCATGTTTTATTAAGCAAGCATGTTTTTCCTTCTGTTTGTTTCTTTATCTAACCATTTATTCTGACAATTAAGCTCATGGCACCCAGTATTTAAATCTTCAGCACAAACAATCCTGTCTAAAGGAGTTTTAAGGGGTGTTTCTTACGTTTGCTATTTTCTCTCTCATAACAAATTTGTTGTCACTTTATTGATAACAGTGATTTTTCCTGAAGGATACTGTAATTAATTCAAAATAATTTTGGTACTATTATAAAATATGGTGTTTATTTCTTTAAACAATTGCCAGGTTTGGAAATAAATTATCAGTATCACAGCAATTTTAAGCATCGTAATATTTAAAATTACAGTGAGCAAGAAAATATATCTAGTATATTATATCACTTTATATTTATTATATTATAATTTATATTATATACTATATCTCATTTTAATATTAAAAAATGAAGACCCAGAGTAACCCCTAAATGTGAGGCTTAATTAGATACTATTAAAGTGGGTCTTATTTTAAAAGGCCACCTAGGAACATAGGATTATAGATTTAGAGCTGGAAAAACCTCGGAGATCACCTAGTCAAACTCAGTTTTACAGATGAAGAAAAAGCATTCCAAAAATGAGGGATAGAGAGAGAACGTAAAAGTGCAAGGAGCAGCAAAAACAACAGTACAGCTGGATTGTAGAATTAAAGAGTGAAGTAAGTGGAAGAAGACTATAAAGGCAGAATGGATCAAATTGTGAGTAACTTTAAATGCCAAACAAAAGCCTTTATATTTGATTTTAGAGATAATAGGGAGCCAACGAGCTTACCGAGTAGAGAGGGTTACATACTTTCAAAAATCACCCTTTATTACAAAGATTCTATATAGCCACATGTTTATCAAGCATTATCATTTCAATCTTTATTTAGTTCAAATAAAATTATAAAAAAGCCAAAACACCCTTTGTAGCCTGATAGTGTGAATTACGATTTTCAAAAGTACATAGATGCTGTCATAATTAACAAAATGAAAATTCATGAAAACTAAGTCATTGTATTCCACATCATGTGTTTTCTAAATCAGTATATATCATAATACAACTCATACTATAGGAGTCTACAATTTTTTTTTATATTAAAAAGGGATTCTCATGCTTGACAAATGTTAGGAACTCTGAATAACATGTCTAGCATTTTGTCCTAGTCATACCTATGCATATATTCACAACAACTGTACCCAACTATTTAGCTGGATAACAGGAAAATACTGGCAATTAATAATACATTATAATTTTGTAGTTTTGTGAAAAATAAGAATTTAAAAATTACACATTTTTATGTCTACTGTAAAAGTAAAAAAAAATCCTGTGTCAGTAATCATAATTAAAATGCTCCTTAGTGTAGCTACTGATTTTATTTCATTGCATTGTTTCAAAATAAGGGATAGCACAGAAAAATAGCTTACCAGTTAAAAGATGTTAGAAAATATATGTTTGAAATTTCACTAACCTAAGCAAGTAAAGCCATCTCCAGCGAATCCTTCAAAATGAGCACAGTTCACACACTGGGCATTTATACTACATTGGTGGGTTCCATTAGAACATTCAACCAGATCTATACACCAAGAGAACAAAATAAAATATAAGCTAGAACATTTACAAACAAAATAATATTAAATTTGCCTTTAATTTCAATTTGTATGTGAAAGTGGTTTTTGATTATGCTTTGAAAAAGCACGTAGTAAGTAAACCTGTAAAATGCACACAATCTCAAGATAACCCTAGAAAAGTGATGGATAACTGCATAAAATGGGAACTGTATGAAAAGTCTAAATTAAGCATAAAAACTTAAAATAACAAAAGTACTGAGTTCTTCCTGTCCCATGACAGGAATAACCAAGGTAAATTCCTAAGACTAGATTATTTATCTGCCTTACAATTTTCATTATATTTCGCAAAGGAGTTCATTCATTTCAATGACATGTAGCCACTGTTTTATCCTTAACTGTTGTGATGTACGTAGGAAACAATAAAAAGTGGATGATTATGAGGGTAAGTAAGAAGTTGGAAAGAGTATTAAAGGAGGTAGATGAATGAAAGTGAGAAGGAATATAGGAAAGGGATAGAGGTACTTAGTAGTTTGATAGATAAAGAATGGATATGTAGCAAAACAACTGAATAGCAAACATTACATCTCATATTTTATAAGGACAATGATGTGATTCCTAAAGTTAAAAAATTCATGTTTGGCAAATTTAAGTAGTTTGCATGTACAAAAGACAACATAGGCAACATAGCCAAATTGAACGAGCAGAAAAAATGAATTTTTCCATACACTCAATGTAGGTACATTATTTGTGATTGGGAGAAATCAATTAGTTTTACCGTTTTTTCAAGTTAGTCTAGACAACTGTTGATAAGACATTTTAGATGGATTAAAAAGCATTCCGTAGGTTAAATATGAATGTGTCTGCCTTTAAAATACAATCTAGTTCTTCACCTTCTAGAAAGCAAAGACTTATCCAAATTTGGTTCAATAAAATATCAAGTGCCTTGTTTCTTTGCTTCAAATAAAATATTTGAAGTTTGTCTGTCAGAGGAATTATTCTATTTTTTTAACCAAGAAGATAACATGAACTATGTATTACATGTTCAGGTTAACACAAAAGTTTTAACTTTCTTGCTTTTGTTTCATTGAACTTTAAATCTTGTTGATATTATGTTAAAAGTCTGGAAAATATATTAAATATTTTTCATCATATAACTGATTGGATTTACCTTAAGTGCTGTCTTCACATAGCAACTTTTCCATAATATAAAACAAATGTTTTCTTATACTCCTGTGATTCAATATGTAGTTCAATAATAAACTTAACAGAAACTGCTAGGCATAAATTATCTTGCAACTAAAGCTATCTCTTGACTTTTGGGGAAAAAAATCAAGAAAAACAATGGTTTTTTTGCAAGCATGCAAGTTAAAATGCATGCAAAAAATATTGCATAGAATGTTACATTTGACTAAATATAATTTTGTTTCCCAGTAACTGATACTCATGTTTGCATATTCACCAATACATCTGATACCATTTCCACCCCAACCTTCCCTACAGCTAGCTACATTTGAAGCTTCCTTGTGTATTTAAGCACAAAGCATGTATACTGCAGTTGTGAACATCAATGTCACAATCATCTACATCTAAGAAAACAATAGTTGGTTAAGAAAAGCAAGACAATGTAGTATAATACTGAAACTTTAAAATATAGTGGAAAGAGTGCTAATTTGGGTATCCGAATACCTTCTGCACATACATTTAGTAAAATTTAACAGATTAGAGTTGGGCTTGATATGATTAGATTATATATGATTAGAATGATATGGGGCAGCTAGGTGGCACAGTGGACAGAGCACCAGCCTCAAGTCAGGAGGACCTGAGTTCAAATCTAGCCTCAGATACTTGACACTTACTAGTTGTGTGACCCTGGGCAAGTCACTTAACCCCAACTGCCTCACCAAAATAAAAAAGAATGATATGACACATATCTTACTGAAGCAATTAGACACAAGCACATCAGAACTAGTGAATCATAGTATCCTAGCTAACTCATCCCCTGATAGTATACTACAACCAAGTCAATCGTGTGATCTTTCAGAGGCAATAAGACAGAAGGATATGGTGTAGTTCATTTATACTGTGGTATAACTTTTAGTCACAGTCTATTTGTGCTTACCTAGTATAAGCAATTTAATAGGACAGTAATGATGACAGCTCTCTGAAATGCAACCAAAAAAATGAAATAATAGACACATGCTTAATACATGCCTGCACACCCAGAGCTTCCCTTCTTTTCTGAATAGCCCAACTGACAGTGACAAATGAAGGATCTTTTTGTGTTCCCACATTCTCCAAACATACAGATGTTAGAATTTAAGTGACATTCATCCACATCTATAAGGTTATATTTGAATTGTATTGGTTAACATTTACCTATAATAATCATCACATAGAATGAAATACCTTTTACCTGCCACTGTCCATTAATGATAGAAATTAAAAGTACTATTAACATTTAAAATATATTTTAGATGCCCATGTGTAGCACAACCTTGCAGATATGTTTGTAAGTTCATGAGATTTAAAAAAAAACAAGTATATCTTTCCTTCATATTTCCCAGCTTGTATTATAGTAGTTGAGAAATTAAAACACATACAACACAAATACCCTTAACTTTTCCTTACTTTTCTCAATTTCACAATGATAATCAAGCTTTTAAAACAAGGAGAAAAAGTCTTTTTAATTGACTATTAAATTAGCACTGTCTACTAAAGTCCTACTCTAATACCAAATTTTAACATGGAACCCACCAGAGTTCTGAAAAGCTATGTTAAGAGTGCAACCTCTGGCAGATCCTAATAAGTTAGACAGCATACAAGGCTGAAAATGGTCTGTATGCCTACTGAGCAGTCTAACTAAAATGTGGGGGAGGGGGAGGATCACCACAGTGTAGACTCTTTGTCCATTCCTGGCTTGATTTTTATTGGTCTTAAGAATTCAAGAAGACTCTCTACTGGAAGAGTTAAGACCTGAATCAGACGGATTTTAAAGACTTCAACAGAATTTGGTAATGTGATAACTTAAATTTCATTAACAACTGAATATTTCATATGATTTAGCTGAAATTTGTTTGAGTCTCAGTTTCAGAAGCTTAACTAGATACGTGACTGTTGGAAAGTAATTTGCTATTTTGGAGGCTCAGGTTACTCATCAGAAAGCAAGCATTTACAAAATGCTTTCATCACAATTGTGAAAGAGGCAGTGTTAAGCACTTGCAAACTATAATGCAGTAAATAAACAGTAACTATTATTTTGCCTTAACTCTTCATTTTAACACAGAAGCCAGAGGGCATATTTTCCTAGTTCAATACATGAAGCTTTTTCTTTTCAAACTTTTTGGGAAATTTTTCTTTTAATATGAACATTACATCATGAAACACTGTAAGTGTACATATACATAAGTACTCAGAGGCAGCATGGTATAGTTGATAGAGCTGATCTTAGAGCCAGGAAGATATGCACTCAAGTCTTGCCTTTGACACATGAGGGCTGCGTGATTCTGAGCAAGTCCCTTGACTTCCCTGTACTACAGGTATCAAAGACTGGAACTTTCCAAGGAGTTACTGATCTGCATTAATAGGTGAGAGTAGAGTTCCCTCACTAGCTCCCACACTAAATGAAATGAAAGATCTGTGTCTCCAGCTATCAACTGACATTATTTATATAATGTATACTTAATATCTTATTCTTCGAATACCTACCAATACATGTTTTCATATCCATGGAAGCCACAAAACCATCATAACAGAGATAGCCACCAGTAATGTCAGTATATTGGCTACCATCACAGACACCAGGATTTTTTTCACAATCATCAATATCTAAAGAAGCAAAATTTGCAACATATAAAAAGAAAAGTAATTTTTGAGAAAACCAAAGATTACCTTTTTCCATCCCTTCTGCAATATACAAAGCCCACTAAGAGTGGGTATCTCTTAGGGCTCAGTACAAATCTATATAAAATCCAAATCTCTCTCCAGAACTCCAGTCCAACATTCCTAACTGTCTGTTAGACATTTCCAAGTGGATGTTCTGAAGGCACCTCAAACTCATTTATCTCCAAAATGGAATTCATTATATACCCCCTCTTTTCTCTTGCCTCCTTTTTGTATAAACCCTTTCTTTCCTCAAACTTCTACTGAAGGTATTACCTTTCCTTTAGTCCCCCAGGTTGGCATCCTTAAAGTCATTCCTGACTTATTCCTGTTTCTCATCCCCAATATCTTATCCCTTATGATTCTACTTCCAAAATACCTGTTGTATCTGTCCCCATCTCCTCACTTATACAGTCCCTACTCTCAGTAATTTTCACCTGGTACAAAGTGTTCTTTTTGGCCAACCTCTATTCCATTCCATCTCCAATCAATCCTCCACACAGATAGCAAACTGATATTTACAGATCTGACCACATCACTTCCCTACTAAAAATATTCAATGGCTTCTAGTGCCCTAGGATAAACTATAAATTCCTTAGCTAGATAATGATTAGCCACAATATGGATCCCACTTGCCTTTTTGTTCTTATTTCACATTACACCCCTTCACACACTCTCTGTTTCAGTCAAACTGCCCAACTATTTGTTCCCTATGCACAGCATTCTATCTTTCCACCTTAGCCCAGGTGGTACCCATGTCTAGAATGCACTCTCCCTCCTTACCTCCACTCCTTAGGATCCCTGACATCAAAATACAGTTCAGGTACACAGAGACACAGACAGACACACAGACACCCACACACACAGCATTTGCTGATCCCTAGCCTGTTGTTAGTGTTTTTCCCTTTTGGAACTGCTTTATGTATGTATTTGGTATTTACTTGTGTACATGTTGTAGAATGGATGGTATTTGGAGGCATAGATTGTTTCATTTTTGTTTCTGTATTACCAGAGGCTAACACACTGCTTTGTGTATAATAGGTGTTAAATAAATGTTGAGATGAATTGAACTGAATAAAGTCAAATCTGTAAATGAAAATTAACCAAGCAGGAGAAAGGGCTTGTGTTTTTGTTTCCTTACCTGCACAGGTTCTCATATCTGGCATCAGGGTATAAACTTCACTGCAAAGACATTCATAGCTGCCTTCTGAATTAGTGCATTGGCTATCACAGCTTCCATTCATTATCGTATACTCATCAATATCTGGTAAAAGAACATTTCAACTGCATCATTTGTCAGCTCTTTGCCCTATGAAAAAGTCTGCCTTTTAAAAAATAATTATACAGGGGCAGCTAGGTGGCACAGTGGATAAAGCTCTGTCTGGTCTTGAGGTCAGGATGACCTCAGACACTTGATGCTTACTAGCTGTGTGTCCCTGGGCAAGTCATTTAATCTTGACGGCTTCACCAAAAAACAAAACAAAAAAAAAAGTATACAGATCATGTTGAATGTTTACTCACTTCTCATGATTTTGGTTTTTTAGTTATTCTAAGTTGATATTTTCCTATATAAACTATCAGCTGCTTTTGGTAGTATTGCTTTTAACACTTCCCTCATTTCCCCAAAATTAAAGAAATCAGGAACATAACTGGAACGATCAATGAAATAAAAAAATACACTCTTGGAAGTTTAGATCTATACCTTCAGAGCAAAGAAAGGAATCATGCTGCCTTGTGCAACTACTCCCTTCCTAATATTAAACCTTTATTTTTAGTTTGTAAACTCAAAGTAAAAGTAAACTGCATCAAAATATTTTAGTAACTGAACAAAAAACAATTAACAAAGAAATTAAAGCAGTTTACAAAAAAGGACTAAAAAATAGTGAAATGATTCCAATTGATTCTTATTAAAAAGGACAACCACGCAATACTATTCAAGCATATTTATGAAATATCTTGAGAATTCAGTGACTTATGTTAGTTTTCTATGGCCCTCATTTATCCGTAATGAAATGACTTGTTCTCCTTTTACTCCTTTTACTGACTTGAGAAATAAGAATTTAAGGACACAGATGTGCTCACTTCTTACCCATATAGCCTTGCCTGTCTAGAGCTGCTTGATATCCAGCATTACAAGAACACTGTGGTCCAATCACGTTCACACATTTTCCATTTCTACATAGATTATCACTCAGAGAACATTCATTTATATCTGCAAAAGAAAAAAAGGTTATATTTCTATAAAATAATTGAATATTTTACAATAATTCACTTTAAAAAATCATTAAGAACTGTATAAAAATCCCATAGTTCATGAAGTCATTTTTCAAAGAAAAGAAGGTTGTTGCAATGGCAACAAATGATTTTGAGCAATATTTCACATCGCAAGATAAATATTGAACCCAGGCAGGATAATCACATTAACTTGTTCAACAGTGGAGGGATGTTTATAGGTTTAGTGCCCTCTGGTGGCCCATTGAGATGATGCAGCCTTTTTTTAGCAGTTTTAGTCGGTGACTCAAGAAGGCCACTTAGTGAATGATTTAGGTACCTTACCCCCTTGCAGGATAATCAAGTGATGTACTGAACTTCTACAGAGTTAAGGCAAGCAGGACACATGATAATATGGACTGTTATTGGGACATATCAATGCCCTAAGTATTACGTGTGTGTGTGTGTGTGTGTGTCCATTTCTTATATCAGCTGAGGGTCAGCAAAGAAACTGAGGAGAAGAGACCAAAGAAGATGCACATCTGCAAAAATGTTGTCCTTAACTACAATAATAAAGACAGGCAAGTGTAAAAATTGGCATATGACACATGGAAAGGAAGAGAATAAGAATTTATTAAATGTCTACTATGTACCAGGTACTATGCTAATCATTTCACGAATACTTCATTTGATACGTATGGAGTCAGAGCAGGGATGACAAGGGATCATCTTTATGTGTATGTGCATGTGGGTATGGAAAACATATTTATGCAAAATGACAGGGGTGTGAGCAAATAGATTCTTGTTTAAAATAGTATCTTTTCTCCTAGCATCTAGAACTTTTGAGTCTGTATACAGTACACAGGTGATTTTTTTTCTAATAAAGCCATAATAACTAAATATTCAATTGTTCTACTGCCTGGTACTGTAAATAAGATCAAATAAAATAAATTGTAAAAAGCAAACTAAATATGATGTATAGGGCTAGATTACTAAAATCTAAATTATGAAGGTTCTTTTATAAATAGAAAATCCAACTTTAGAATTAAAGGGACCTAAGAGGCATCTGGTTCAATTTCCTTATCAGCATATGGGGAAATTGATGCCCAGAGTGGTTAAATGACTTGCCTAAGATAACAAATGATTTTCTTTCCTCAGTCTTTCTAGAACTAGGCCAAAACAAGGTTTCCTCAGTCTTAATCCTAATTTAATGACAGAGAAATTTGAGCAACAAATAATGTCAAATGCATTATGGGAAACCTCATTTTCTGGTTATTATTTAATTCTATGGGATAAACTCACCCACACAATCCTCATGTAATGGTATTTCATGTCCAAGTATGCAGTCATATTGAAATCTGCCTTCTGTGTTCACACAGTTTCCACCTCTACAAAGTAGAGAGTTATGTTCACGTTCAGTAACATCTGAAAGGTAAATATGTCAACTTGAAGTGATTTTTAGAAAAAATAGTAAGGAAAGGGAAAAATAATTATCTGAAAATGACTGAACTTGAGAAATAAATGAGGAGATGTATAAGTTTTCAGTTGTGATAGGCTTTCTACCTTCTAACATGGTACTGGAAGAATCTAGTAAATAGTGAAAGTTCTAGTATAACTCAAAATTGCTGTTATTAAAAAGTTTAGTAACTTGAGGGGAGAAAGTAGTGGTGAAGAAAAAAAGAAGTATTATAAACTAGCAAGGAAGGCAGCACATACTCATCACTAATTATCAGAAGAATAGATTTTGTTCTCTTTTAATGTTAATTTTCAGGTTTACTAAATAAATGTAAAATTTTAGAAACACGTGTTACCCAATGAATATCCACTGAAGAGGTCAGATTAAACATCAATTCAGAAATGTATAATTCACTATGCCCTGAAAAGTGGCTCAAAATTCCATACAATTAAGTGTTATAATAATCCAAAATGAAGGTATCATAAACTTGGGGGCAAATTACTATAAAAACATTACAAATTTTAATACAAAACTGTGCAAACCTAATTTATTGATTTTAGATCTCCATGAATAAATACAATCCAATATCATTTTTTTTACTCCCATTGAGATGGCGAGAGTTTTCAGTGAGCTGAGCAATGAAGGAACATATTTTTTTCATTTCATGAATTGATGGTTACATCTTGGTCCACAGCTATGTGGGAAGCATTCTCTGAGATAGGTGTGGGTCAAGATTATGAGTCTATGCTACTTTTGCTTCGAGTTTTGAGAGCAGGCCAACTATACTTACCAATACAGTTTGTCATCATCATGAACCCGCTTTCATAACCTTCAAAACACTCACATTCAAAACAGCCTGGAGTGTTGACACAAGTACCACTTCCACAAATGTCAGGAGAACTCTCGCATTCATCAATGTCTGATTTTAAAGAATTAAATAGACTGAAGCGAACAAGAGTTAAATGGTGAGACTTCACTTTTCAGGGGAAGGTACAGCTCATTTGAAATGCCAGGAAGTCTGTGTCATGTAGGACAAAAATTTGTTCAGATGACCAGAAGCAGAGGGGATTAGGGGAGCTGAGCCTGGAGTTCATTCCTCTTCCCAACTGCCAAAACTGTCATTGTCAACTGGTAGAGGCACTTTTCTATGGTCAGAATTCTGGAACCTAATGGGTAGTATTTTGTATTTTTTTTAAATAGATTTTATGTCTTCCTAGATTGAAAATGACAAAACATTAAGTGGAAGGACAAGCTTAGCTAAGGTGATGACAACCAAAGTCAGATGTTATTTTGAGACACTTCCTCAAGCTTTTTGGCAAATCCATTGTGTTGGCTGCAACAATAACAGCTAAACTGCCTTCTTGATTGGAAGCAGCTGAAGATAAGGATCCTACAGCAGGGGTATAATGTAACTCATAGTCAAAGGGATACCATAGGTGGGGAAGACTCATTTATCTATTTAGTCATACCAATACAAAATAGTAACAGTCTCATCTTCAAAAATAATGACAATGAACTTTCTGTATTTTTTTTGCTGTTACAAATTTGTAATATAATTATAACATGACAGACTGCATTCTTTAAAAATATGAGTTAGCATACTTGCTAAATGAATGAGATCAACTAAGCTGTAGCTACTCTATCTACCCAGCAGAGAAAGAACTTTACATAAGGAAAATTAATTTATATTTCTGACCTGATTGGTTAAACAAAATTCAACACATGGCCTTTATTTCTGAAAGCAGGGGAAAAAAAACGATTATAAATGGATTCTGAATTCAGCTGCTATAGTATTTTATATGTTTCAGCTTTAAAATACTTCTCAAAGGATTTATCATTAGGCCTTTAAAAAAATCTTATACAAATAACATATATTCACTATTTAAAATGACTTCTGAGCAGTCTTGCAAGGAAACCTTCATTTTTCCTTTTTATCCATTTATTTCTTCAATGACAAACATTACTTAAACTATATAAAATAAACCATTGTCAGTTAAAATTAGAAGGGAAATCAGTTAACTGGGAAAACAACCTTTGAAGCAAGACTTTTTCATAAAGGTCTTATATCCTATAAAATATTAAAAAATATTTAAATTTAAATTTATATATAATTTATACATTATATATAAATATATAAATTAATATTTAAAGTTAGAAGATAGATAAATATTTGAAGGTTACAAACAGAAAATTTTCAAAGGAAGAAATCCAATTTATCAACAACCATATAAAAAAATTATTCAAATAATTAATAATTAGAGAAAAACAAATCCGAGGTTCTATCTCATACCCATCAGATTGGCAAAATTAACAGCAAAAAAAAAAAGATCAATGTTGCAGAGGCTGTCGGAACACAGGCACACCAGTGCACTGTTGGTGGGGTTGTGAATTGGTCCAGAAGTTCTGGAAAGCAATTTGGAACTATGCGAAAAAAGTTGCTAAATGTTGTATAGCCTTTGATCAGCTAATATAGGTTTGTACCCCAAACCAATCAGATCAAAAGGAAAATTACTCATATGTATGAAAATTGTGCAGTTATATTTTGTACACACACACACACACACACACACACACACATATACACATATATATATATATATATATACACACACACATATATATGTAACAAAGAAGTGGAAAATAAAGGGGAATAGCTGAACAAATTATAGTATATGAATGTAATAGAATATGATTGTGCTATAAGAAATGATGAAAAAGTTATATGAACTGATGCAGAGTTGAAATGACCAGAAACAAAGAGAACAATTTATACAGTAACAAAAAAGGTATAATGGAAAACAACTTTGAAAGACTTAAGAACATTGATCAACCATTCTAGAGGACAGATGATAAAGCATACTACCCACCGTGTGTCAGAGGTTCAAAATGCAGAATGAGACATTTCTTTTCACTGCGGCCAAAGTCAGTAAACATTTATTAAACACCTTCTATGAGTCAGGAGCTGTGCCAAGCACTGAGGATACAAAGAAAGGTAAAAATCAGTCCTTGCCCTCAAAGAGCACAATCTAAGGAAGGAGACAACATGCAAATGTACAAACAAGCTATATATAGGATAAATTTGAAATAATTAATAAAGAGAAGGCATTAGAATTAAGGGGGATTAGGAAAGACTTCCTGTGAAAGGTAGGATTTTAGCTAAGACTTGAAGGAATCCAAGGAAGTCAGGAGAAGGAGAGGCAGAGGGATGGAGGTCAACCAGTAAGAATGCCTGGATTCAAAAGATAGGAGTGTTTTGTGTGAGGAACATGAAGGAAGCTAGTGTCACTGGATCAAGGTATACTTGGGGGTAGGAGGTGGGGTGGATATAAGGTGTAAGAAGACTGAACAATCAAGGGCAGGGTTTAGGAGGTTATGGATGGCTTAAAACCCCAAAGGGGGACTTAATATTTGATCCTGGAGGTGATCCATGGAGTTTATTGGGTAGGTGGTAATGTCTGACCAAGCTTAGGGCTTGGTGCCTGCTTTCGCTGCCTTCATGGCCATTGGAACAAATTGTTTTTACCCGCCCATCCCACTTGGGAAGTCTTCACATATTTGGGGTAGACACCCTCTAATTTACTGAATAGCTTTGAGGCCTGTGGGTTACTCTTAATCTGGTTTAGCACGTCTGCTGAGATGGTTTACTAGAGTGTGGAGTACGGCCGCTGCACATGCTACCACTTCCTGGAGCCACACGTGAGAGCTGAGAGCCAGGTAGACACCACAGGTGGATGAGCAGCTCTGAACAGGGCTTGACAAGTTGTCACATCTGAGGTGCTGGTCTTTCTTGAACACCCCAAAATACCCCTTGGTACATACTAGGTGCTATATAAATGCTCATTTCCTTCCCTTCTTTTTTTCCTCGGGGATATATGCCTTATAATGAAATCTCTGAATCAAAATGTCTGGAAAATTTTTTTTTCATTTTATTTTCATAGAGGCAAATTATTTTCCAGACCACTAGGTGGCTCAGCGGACAGAGTGCTGGGCCTAAAGTCAGGAAGAACTAAATTCAAATCCAGCCTCAGACACATACTAGTTGTGTGATGCTGGGCAAGTCACTTAACCCTGTTTGCCTCAGTTTCCTCATCTGTAAAATGAACTGGAAAAGGAAACAGCAAACCACTTCATTATCTTTGCCAAGAAAACCCCAAATGGAATAATTAAGAGTAGGACATGACTAAACAACAAGAAGAAGTTATTTTCCAAAATAGATGTACAAAAAATATTTATAGCAGCAATTTTTGTGGTGGCTAAGAATTGGAAATTGAGGGGATGCCTACCAATTGGAGAACATCCTAACAAATTGTGGTATATGATTGTAATGGAATACTACTGTGCTGGCAATCCCAAAGGACTCATGATGAAAAATGCTATCTGCCTCCAGAGAAAGAACTGATAGAGTCTAAATGCAGATGGAAGCACACTTATATTTTCCTTTTACCACATGACCAATATGGAAATATGTTTTGCATAACTTCACATATAATCTATTTCAAACTGCTTGTCTTCTCAATGAGGGGGAGGGGAGGAAAGAAGAGAAAATTTGCAACTCAAAATTTTAAAAAATGAATGATAAAAATTATATCTACATGTAATTGAGGAAAATAAAATATTAAAAAAGAACAGGGAGAAAGAAAAGGGGAAGAAGAGGAAGAAGAAAAAGAGGAAGAAGAGTTAGAAGGAGGAAGAGGAGGAGGGTGTGAGGGAAATGGAGTAATGTATAATAAAGTTGGAAAAGTAGAAGGGGGTCAGGTTATGAAGGACTTTAAATGCTAAATAGAACAACTAATGTTTTATCCTTCAAGTCAATAAACATTTCTTAAGTGCCTACTATGTGTCAGGCACTATGCTAAGCACTGGGATTACAAAAAGAGGAAAAGGACAGTCCCTGTCCCCAAGGTTCTCACATCCTAATGGGGGAGACAACACACAAGTATGTGTAACCAAGCTATACACAGGATAAATAAGAAACAATTAAAAGAAGGGAGACACTAAAATTAAGAGGGGTAGGAGAGGATTCTAGTAGATGAGATTCTAGTTGGGACTTGAAGGAAGACAGAGGAGCCAGGAGACAGAAATGAGGTTCCTTCCTTCCTTCCTTCTTTTCTTCCTTCCTTTCTCCCTCCCTTCTCCTGGAAGCTCAACATATTGATGCCAAGTTAGTGACGACACCTGATCAGTTTAGTACTAGTGCTTTTCAGCTCAGAACTTTCAGAGATCTGCCACTCTCAGCCTTTCCAGCAGCAGGAATTCCAAGCGCATGCTATCATATTTGCCTCTCAATCATTTCTGATGAAAGGACCAGAGCTGAGTAGGAACTCTGAAATGCAAGCACAAGAGTCCAGAGAAATCAAAAAAGGTAAATTTATTTAAGCAATTGGATGGGATTGTATAATGATGTATTACTAACATTCTAATAGGAGAAGAATATTCCTTTGCAACTTCGATGTCTTCAGAAAGTATTAAAGGAGTTAAATAAGAAAAACAGGAAGGAGGGGAAGATTAGTTCCGTTCTGAGGTTATGAAGAGAAGGGACAGTAAAAAAGGAATACATTAGTGCAGAAAGAAAGAAAAAAGGGGTAGCCTTTGACATTTCTCGTAATTGAGATATATGAGAAAAAGCGTATAAAGGAAGAGGTGAGGGGAACAAGCACCAGATGAACCACATTCTCATTTGTAATGGACAAGGGAGTGTTGAACAGACATGCACGCGTGCGCGCGTGCACACACACACACACACACACACACACACACAGAGTCTGAAACAAGTAGAGATGGCAGAGGAGTGAGGGGGGTGTTGTTAAATGTGAGTTAATATCAGGTTAGGAATAGACACATGCAAAGCTAAACTCCTGATCCTTAAAAAGGAAATTAAAAGGAAAAAAGAAAAGAAGCAAGGGAGTGTCCATCATTTGGGGAACAGTTGAACAACTAATGATATGTTAAAGTAATGGATTAATACACCATGGCAAATAATGAAAAAAAGATAATTTCAGAGAATCCTAGTCAGCATGAACTAATGAGTAAATTGAGTAAAACTAGGAGAACAATTTGTACAAGAACAACACGGCAAAGATTTAAAAACTCTGATTAAAATAATGACCAATCATGTCTCTAGAGGATTTATGATGAAGCATGTTATACCTTGACAGATTCAAGGTGCAAAAAAAGAATACATTTTTGGACTTGGTGACTTTGTGGATTTCTTTTGCTTGATTATGCTTATTTGTTAAAAAAGTATTGCTGTTATATTTCAGCTTTTAATTAGGTGGGAAGTTGGGAGGAAGGAGATTAGCAATTGTGATACCAAAAAAAAAAAAAACCAAAATACTTTTAATGAATATATCAGAAGAAAGCACAAGTAGGATAGTGTTGAAAGTAATATGTATAATTATTATATCATTTTAAAATTAAATGCTATTAAAAAGAAACAGTTTCAAAACAATCCTCTTTTTTGTTCTTCCATCTATACAGAGTTTTGATGTTTAAGTTCAGAATAAAAACAAATTTTTTAAGTAAAAGTGGGAGACAATTTTTAGGAGTAGATTTTACAAACAGTATAAATTTAGATTAATCATAAATTTTAAAATTAAATTTTCAAACCTTTGGAAACAGGAGAAATTTTACTGATAATAAGTTTTCAATAAATATCTAGTGGAATATGTGCTAAGTGCAATATTTAAGAATTATAATAACAAGTTACTTTGATCTCTACAAGTTTTTATTAGCAAATTTAGCAGAATTTGATTTCAAGATTATATGATTATTTAATGCTCAAATAACTTGAAAATCTGTTTTAATAGATCACATTTATAAACAAACAGGAGATCATAGCAAGGCAGTTTAGAACTTGTATTTTTTCAACCTCTTATCTCCCTACATTAATTTAGCACTTAAGTACAAAGAGAGGGCAACTAGGTAATTCAGTAGATAGAAAGTTGGGCCTGAAGTCAGGATGAGTTCAAATTTGACCTCGGACTCTTGACCCTGGACAAGTCACTTAACCCTGTCTGTCTCAATTTCCTCATCTGTTAAATGCTCTGGAGAAGGAAATGGAAAACCACTCCAGTATCTCTGCTAAGAAAACCCCAAATGAGGTCCCGACCAGTTGGACATGGCTGAACAACAACATAAATAGAGAACACTGAAACATTGAAAAGCTGGGATTTGGGGGAAAAGATGATGTTAAATTCATAGTCTGAGAAAAAATGTTTTATTAGAGGAAAAATTAAATAGAGAAATTTACCTGTAAAATTTCTTTTTTTCCATATCTAAAGCAAAACCACTGTTACACTGACCCTTAAAACTTCCAATGATATTTTTCATTTTCCATATGTGCACGTTCCAGGAATGTTTGCATTTAATTATAGTTAAAGGTAAAATAAGACCAGAGCACATATCTGATTATAATTAAACCTTTTATTATTTTAGATGAAAAATGGTCCTACATGAATTATGAATGAAAAAAAGTAAAACACTTTTTTGTACCATTGAAGAGACAGGGATAACAAGTTTTTTCAGTGGTCACATAGATGTCTTTAAGAAAATACCACCTGGGATTCTGAATTCCAAATTAAATGTTGCAGGCTGTTTTTTAAGTCAATTTTTTTTAATGTATTCATGGTAACTTAAGCTCTTCAGTGGCAGAATTCCATGCTGATGCAAAATTGACACCATATATTAAAAACTTAGTATAGTAAAAGAAAATACAGATGGCTAGGAATGACATTTTCTACTATGTTTTTACTCATGAAACTTTAAAAAACTACTATTTTTATTATTTTATTGTACTATGACCTAAGCAACCAGTACTGGTTAATCAATACATGAAAAATAACATTTTATGATTTAGTAAACAATGTATTTCAAAACGTGTCCAGATTTTTCTAGAATGCATTTTAAAATAAGTCTACTATATTCATAAAAATTGC